ATTCGATTAATCGATTCTATTAGATACGATTCGATTTTCGATTAATTCGATTTTGGTTGAATCGATTCCAATCCCTAGTTTAAAGGTAAGCAGAAAGTATCGTGTTTTATTATTTTACTAATTAAATATTTAATATAATAATCGGAATTTCAACTTTAATTTAACATAGATATCGTATTGCCTGCAACGTCGGCGCTCTATACGATCAGATATGATAATTAATTATATCTTTCGGTGTTTATTATAATAAAAATGTAAAAGGAATAATGGATAACGATGTATTCATTTATTAGGGATTTTATCGGACTTTTTCAAGGATTAGATGAACTGTTTATTATTGCAGGTATTTAATTCTTTTTTTATTGTGTTAAAAAACTGTTTCTTTTATTAAAGGAAATTCCGACATTTATATACATAAATTTCTAACAGGACAATTATGGCCAGTGAACAATTATGACAAGCGAGCATTAATGGCCAGTGAACAATAATGACCAGCGAACATTAATGGCCAGTGATCTTTATTACGCTAACTTAAATTTTGTTAGCTGAATTTCTTATAATAATAATAATAGTAATAAAACATAAGTAATACTAATGAAATAAAACATATATAAATGCTAATAAACTGAAAATAAAATAAAGAAGAAATAATAATAGACACATTAATAAATGTTAATATAATGCTTATTAATAAAACCAATATATCTTATGATACAAGTAATTAATGCATATAATTATTAATGTAACAATAGCAGTTTTATGGGTCATAAACTAACTGAGTTTTAAGGTATCGTGTTTATTGTTTTACTAATTTTTATTAATAATATCTTAATTCTAATCTAATACAACATAGATATCATATTGCCTTCAACGTCGGCGCTCTATTCAATCAGATATGTTTATTAATTATATCTTTCGGAGTTATTATAATAAAAATATGTAAAAGGAAATAATTTAATATTTCGTGTTTTAGGGATTATCGGGCTTTCAAGAATTGAATGAGATTTATTATAGCGAATGTGAACTGTATAATCATTGTAATTATCGTTGTATAAATTGTTATGATAATTTTTTTTATTAAAGAAAAATTTCGCTATTTATATATGTGAAATTTTAATAGGACATTTTTGCCCAGGAAACTAATTTGGCCAGCAGACTAATTTGGCCGAAAAACAATTATGGCCAGGCCATTGAACAATATTGGCCAGAGAACAAATATGGCTAGGAAACAATATTTCTTCATTGCGCTAACTCAATGATTGCTAGTTAAATTCTTATATATGTAAAAATAAAATAATGAACGCTAATAAAAATAATACTAATAAAATGAATACTAATAAAAATAATAAAAAATATAATAATAATAAATGTTATAAAATAACAATAATAAAAAAAATATGAACATAATACAAAATAGTCTGTCATTCCGCTCATCAATATGAGATTAGCTACTTTCATTAGATTTGCTTTGGACTTAAAGCAGGAGATGATTATCCATGAGTAATATAATAAATACTATGGATTTGACAAAATCAAAGGAGGCTGAATTAGCACTTCTGAAAACCTCTGTTTTGGATGCAATCTTTTTTTTTCAGGTTGAGGGTCCATCATATTATAGTTTTACATAATATTATACTAAAAAAAATTTGATACACAACATATTTATGATTTGCATCACTTCAGAAATAATTCTAAAAATGAAATATTTGCAATATAATATTGTGTAAATTTACGCAATATTTATGTGAAAAATTTCCTGATGTAATTTTTGACATGTGGAAATATAATTTAAAATTTTCAGGATAATTTCAATTACCAAGCTAAGAAGAATTTTTATTTATTCATCTTTGTTATTCAAGAATAATATTTTATCACCTTTTCTTCTTAATAGAACACGATAAAACAATTTGATTAATAATATTTTTTTGAAATACTAGTTTACTTTTCTGTTTATTTATACTCTTAATATTAGCTTTTGTGTGGTTACTTCTAACGTTAAGTTGTTAGACACCAAGTTGCTCTTGACATGACGTTTAATAGTTACCTGTTCCTTTCTGACAATGATAAGCTTTTTCATATTATTAGAATTTGAGTTGGATAAAATTACATTAACTTTCACAATATTGCGTATATTATATAATTGTATAATTCTATGATGTATTGACTGTGTAATATATTAAAATTATAGAGTATTACTTCATAAGAAATTTTTTGCACCTAAAATAGTTTCTTGATGTAGTGCTAAATATTTTTTTTTGAAAATCAAGTAATAGTTCAAATATTTTTTTTTGAATATCACTCGTCTTTTAATCAATGGTAAATAATTTTATTTGAAATTTTTTAAAACAAATTTATATTTATATTATATATTACCATTAGAATTATCTTTAAAAAAATAAATTTTTTTAATTATTTATAATTTTTTATTTTTATTATTATTTTCGCTCTTTTATATATTTAATAATCTATAATTTTATAAAAAAATAAAAATCAAACTTTATTTATCAATATATATATTTATTTATAAAATATTTATTTGTTTTATCAAAATAAGGTATTATATACACAATATTTTATATAGCTTCTATTGCTACAAAATTGTATAATTCTGCTAACTTTATGTGAGAACATCTGTATTTATATTAGTAGTTTTGAGATTTGAAATTGAATCACTAAATAAACACAAGATATAATGAAAGGCAGTCTTTTTCTATTTGTATTAGAGCTCTGAATCAGGTCAGGTCAACCTGTGATCCGACCTAACCTAACCTGAAAAATTCAGATCAGGTAGATAAATTTTCAGGTCAACATCAAGTCGGGTCAAGCTTATGACCTGACCTGATAAAATTTGGGTCAACCAATCAAATTAAACGAAATAAATATTTAAAAAAAATTTTTTTTTTGTCTATTTTTTTTTTAAAACATCTTTAATTTTATTTAATATACTTTCTTTT